TTGTTCCTTTCTTTATGTGGCTCGAAATCCTGAGACAAATAAAATAAATCAATTTTGGCTGTTCACAAAGTAGTTTCTTCATTAGTCGCATTGCATGGATACTGAATATTAGACAACCGTCAAGGTTTGCAAATAAAAAACAAATAAACATTCTACATTTGTTTTTATCTCTGTTATTAAGCACCAAGAATGTTCAATTACCTGTTTTATCAATATTAATAATAAAAAGGGACATGCAGAAACAGATAAATATCAAATATTTGTTAAACATATTTTTAATATTTCTCGCTAGGAGAAAGGGTGCAGGCTACTTCCAGGTTTCTATATCAGCGACGCACTTCCAACATAAAGGAAAACCCAAGAAATAAAATAGCTCAAAAACATAATGGAAGAAGAATTTGGAGAAGGCACATTTCATATACCTAAACTTACATGGATAAAAATCTCATAATATAACAAATACACATTTTATATCTATAATCAAAAGTGCAGATTGCTTTTGTAACTTCAAGTCAGCTTGCAAAAAAATCAGACTAGTAAAATGAAAATACAAAATGATATTAACTGCTGTCTACAATCCAAAACCTAAAGTCTACTTTTGCAATTTGCATCATTAATTCACCTGCTTTATTGATTTTAAGAAGCTGAATAAATTTAGACAAAATTTTACCGTCTAGGTAACAAAATCTGAAGACTTTCTTCAAACAGATGAAAGTATGATGCAAGTATGCAACATCAATTCATGTCTAAAATATTCCAATACTTGTTAACAAAAGGAAAATTATCCTTCATAGATGGAAACACCATCAGGGTTCCTAAACAGACAGACTTTATTTACATGGTATCTTCTAGTGGAAGGAAATTAGAAAAATAAAAGCCCAACCAAATCAGCCTCCTGAGATAACCTAATATTAGGTTAAGGCTCAAGACATCAGAATTTCTAAGCACTTCTGACTCTTTGTATTGTATTACATTTGCAATTAAACATTCAGATTATCAACACTTGTAACCTTATTTTTTTTTTAAAATGAGTGTTTGATCTCTGAAGTAAATGATGAATTAACTTAAATAACCTACACAATCTTTATCTTATTTTAATTCAGGACTCAGCCAAGCCTCCATGTGAACAACTCATCAGCAGAGCATGCAAAACAAGAAAGACAATCACTTCAGGACAGAAGCTGTTGATCAATTCAAAGCCACAAAAAAAAAAAACAAAAACAAAGAAGTGCAGAAGGTGATTAAAAACAAAGATGGAAATATATACTTACATGTATAACAAACACTGGACAGTTGACATGCCGAATTTTGTCTATATTCTGAAATGATAAAAGAGATTTTTGTTACTACAAAGCTCAATGCTAAAGATTACAGCAGAGTAAGAACCATGAAGAACACCAAGGCAAAACATACTTTGAAAATGTCAAACCAAAATGTCATCTTGACAGGGTACAAGACCCTTATCCCTGAAAGGATGGCACTGTGAAGAACAACACCTCTCAACTTCTGCAACTTAGAAGCCAAGTGTAGTGTGGGTCCACTTCCAACCGATTGACCATACAAAATCATTTCTTCTTGCTTAATTCCATATTGGTTCTTCAAACAATTATATACAGCCTCTATGTCGTAATACGTGTTGAACTCAGATGGCTGCACAGTTGAAGAGACAATCACAAATAAAACAACAAAGACACCAGTTAGATTGACAGATTTGGACAAAAACAATTCAAATGAAATTTTGATAACCTGATTTCCGTATCTCATCTCCTCATAATATACCCACTCCCAAGTTTCATTATATCCTCGTTCAGATAAACTTCTCCATAAATATTTAAGAGAAGAAATTAAGGCAAAATGCACTGAATTTCTCCCTAAGTTGAAATCAACTTATCCACCTTAGCTTTTGGAATTTGGAGTACATAAATGAAAAAAGCTTCACCAGAAGTTAAGTGCATAAGTTGATTTTAGCTTATGTAGGAAGAAATTTATCCAAACAGATACAAGAAATTTTATTGGAAATGCGCAACAACCAGAAAAGAAAAAAGGGGGGGAGAGAAATCAGGTGAGTTACATACCTTACCTGTTGATGCTCCATATCCTGAATAATCATAGCTGAAAGCATAGCACAAAATTGAAAGAAAATTCAGAAAGAGCTTTTGTTCAGACTTGAAAATGATATTAAGCTGTCAAGTCCAGCAAAATAAACATAAAACTAAATATATCATGCATGAGTTTAGACTTTAGAAACAAAGTAAAAAAACAAGAAAATTTGTGTTAGAGCAGGAGACAGTGATGATTTTTATGAGACATGTAGTTGAATGAAATAGTAAAGACATAAGAAATTAGATGTAAAAGAAGGGGTTGAAGAGAAGAGGAAGGTGACCTCATGATGTTGACGCGAAGGTGAGCTCTGAGCTGGATGAAGAGGTCGTGCATCTGACCCAAGTCAGCGGCGTTGCCGTGAGAGTACAAGAAGGTGAACCTGGCGAAAGGGTGTTTCCAGAAGGTGGCAACGATGTTGTTGCCAGCCTTGGTGCGGAGAATGTGAACGTCGACGTTTTTGTCGGCGGTGACACCCGACAGGACCACGCTCCCATCCTCGTCCCTGCAAACGTCGTAGGTGGGTGGCTCTGGCGGGAAAAACGCGAATTTGGCGGCCACTGTTCCCGTCACATTGCCCATTTAACAAACCCACTATGCATCAACCAAAACAAAACTTGTGTTGTGTTGTTATGTTGTGTGTGTTGGTTTTGTTTGAGAAAGAGGATGTTGTGTTGTGTTGTGTGTTACTTGGGATGATGAAAAGGTTTTGGTGTTGGTGTCTGTCCAAGTGGCTTCTGACGAAACTGAAGATGGAAAGTGAAGAGTGGCAGAAAATAGATCCGACTTAAGCCGTTGAGCTGGAATTGCTGCTCCTCAGTACCATTCATCTTTCCTTCTTCTTTCTCTCCCACCCTTTCACATGTCTCAAATTCAATATCATACAACTAATTAATTATTAAATATAATAGCTTTTTGGACAATAAGAGTAGAAAAATAGACAACTTCCACCCTCTTAATTATTTGATTGGAAGTCAATGATATATTAAATTTTTTAGATTAAATATTATTATTTACTTAATAATGAGTTAGAATTCAATATTATTTAAAAATAAATATTTATGAATTAATCTTACTGTTACCATCTCGTAAGAATTACAAGATTATTAACATTTAGGTGTCATATATCGATCATATAGAACCTTGTTCAAATAACAAGACATATTAGTTATCCACTCTAGTTCGATAATAAGGATCATAAAAAAAAAATCACACATTCTTAAAAATTGTATTCTTAAGTCGAAAAGGTGAAAAAAAATAGCATGTCATGTCTTGAGTCAATAGTATATTAAAAATTTTCAGACTCAACTTTATTGTCTAATTAGTAATTAGTATCATCAAAAAAAATTATCTTTGACCATAAGAAATCTTTTTAAATAAATATGTCTATAAAGTAAAATTTTAATAATTATAAGAAATGTCAAATCCACATCATTGAAAATATAAATTCAGGTGGGATTATGAACCATTTGAATCAACTCACGATAATACAAATTATATGATATTAGTATGAAAATAGTGATTAATCTCTATCATATACTAAAATCACACAAAAAGAAAATATTTTTTCCTTTCATATATAGTTTATTTTATACATACAAAACAAAATTTAAATTATAAATAACTGAATTAAAAGATAAAAATCAATATCACTTAATTAACACATGTATCTAAAGTTTGATATTTAATATTATAAATAAAAATATTATTGTAAGGATCACTATATGACAATTTAAGATTATGACAATTTAAGATTTCATTTTTTTTTAAGAGATCTCCAATTTTAATGATCATTATTAAGTCAATAGAATAAAATTACTTGTAAAAAGCTAAACAAAAATTGTAAAAAGCAATAAACAGAAAACATAGTACCTTTAAATAAATGATTTAAACAATTCACTTGACATTAAAGTAATTTTTGGCTGGCATTTTTTTTAAAACTTCTAACTATTTAGATTAGAAAAATATGAATATTTTTAATGTTGTTCCAAAGCAGCCTGAGGTAGGTTTAGTTTGACTCGATAAATTCTAATTGGCTAAAATTAGAATTGAGCAAAACAAGGGTAGGAAACCCTCCTGTAATCTTGAGATAGTCTCAATTTCCTTTATCCTCTTACCTGAGGATAATTTTTCTTATAGATAACTCACATTTCTTGTCCCTTATTTTTCTGCCTAAAGATAATTTCCCCTACATATAATAGATAATTTTCATATTTTATAGCAAAGACCACCTAACCTGATAAGAGGAAATAGACATGACTTGAATCCTGTCCACTTCTCTAACTCTTATTTAGCTTGAGTGTCAAAGAATTGTAAGTAATAATATTTCAACATTGTACAACTTGAAGATTGAAGAACTATCCCAAATGTAAACTCGTGAAAGACACGTTATGTTCCATAATAATGTAAACTCATATTTTAATTATATTTAACTGTTTGAAATGAACTGTATTATCACATACTGTGATCTAGAGAAGAATAATGGCGTCCGTTTGTGAGGTCCTTTACCTCCGGTTTAGGGTAGTGTTCTGAAAAGTCAAAGTTGCCCTTGAGAGTCAGAGATTGTGATTTGAGATGGGTTTGGGTCCATGGAAATTTGGAAATGCATTACGAGAATGCAGATGAGGATAAGACTAAATTAAAGATATGATTTGCCATGGAACAATCCATTACTAGATTTGTCTCCTAGTATTACACATAAAAATCATAGTTATACCCGTCTGATGGATATACAATAAAATGATAACTAAGATAACAATTAATATGTTATAAAAAATATTAACAATTAATATCATGATAAAATACACACTTTCATATCCATGTAATAAATTGTGAATATATATATATATATATATATATGTATGTATATATATATTTATGTATGTATGTATGAAGTTAAATATGCATCATTAATTACATAATAATTAATGTTACCACATAATTTTAATAATAAATACTTTATCAAATTTTCCTTAAAATTCTCTTAGTGAAAGACAATAATTTATATACATACTTAGAAAAATTACTCATTATTTAGGGAAATCGAATTTACTTCTTTTTTTTATATAAACCAAAAATTATTTCATATATCTAATTTAATGAATGCAATATATGTGACACATTTATTTTTTACAACTAAAATTTGTAACAAATATTTTTTAATGTATAAATTATACTTTTAAATTTATGATAAATAATTTATATCGTGATTGTAAGTTTTTAATCATTGTTGGTTTTAAGAAAAAATAAAATTTATTTAGAAATAAGATGAAAATATATGTTCAAATAGATAAGTGGTTAAAAAAAATTCTTTAAATTATTTTTGTTGAACGAGAACTTCTAAACATATTATCGTTGAATATTGAATAATACTTTAACTCTTAAAATGTTTTCATTCAATATAAATATATTCTAATTTATATATAGATAAAATACATAATTATTTTAAATTCAAACAAAATATAAAAATCATTAATTAAATAATTTATAATTATAAATATATATTCTTAATTAACATATATAGGTAGACTATATATTTTAAGAGGAGATATTTGAGAATCAAATGCATAATTCTTTAAGATAAAATAAACCATAGGATGTAATTTGATTTACTCTAATTTATTAAGAAATTAGATGATAAGAGTGGGCCATCAGTTAAGATACAGGAGAAAAGAGTAATTTTCAATGTAAAAAATAATGGAATTATGAAAATATAAAGAATTGAGATAGTAAGAGTAAAAAGAATTCTTGACGTTCAAAATTTAAAAATAGCTAATTTTAGAATATAAGAAATTGATATTAAAAAAATAGCATAAATTTAAAACTAAATATAATAAAAAAAATTATTATAGAAAATGTTAAATAAACGTAAACAAATGTTTTACAAAAAAATATAATAAAAGATTATTTCACTGTTAAGAACAAGATCAGTTCTATGTTATTATAAAAACATCAATCAACATGATTATGTCATTTTTAATTTTTTTTTATAATTAATAATACGTAAAACATTGTATTATAGATAAATTATAATATTTCCTAGGATTCTTCTTAGATATTTTAGTTAGTTTTCAATACATTTGCAAAGTTGCGGTACGATTTTGATGAAATATTATGACTTGAGAAAATAACAAATTTGAAAATTCAAACCAGTTTACGTATTGAATCGGATAAAAACACGCTCTTTGAAAGGCTTTATGGGGTATTTGTTGACATTTGATCATAACTGATAAGTTAATCTTTAATTACAAAATAAAATATTAGTATATTTGAAGGATTTAATTAATGTCAATAAGAAATGAAATTATTTTTTAATACTAAAATTTTCAATAATGATTATTATATATAATAATTTTTTTATTAACTTTTTACAATAATTATATTTTATTTATATTTATTACAATGTTTATTAATTGACAATATAAAATGTTGGCATAACATAAATTTTTTTAAATAATTTTTATATTTATATAACATATAGAATTTTTTTCTGAAATAATATTTTTTTAAAAAAAAATTACAAGAATGATCACTGTGCAGGATTATTTACCAAGATAGAACCATTTACTGTTCAAGCTCAGAATTCGGTTCCCGGGAACCGAATTCTGAGCATCAAAATGTAATTTTTTTTGTTTTTTCAACTCAGAATTCGGTTCCCGGGGAACCGAATTCTGAGTTGGTTTTAAATTTTTTTTTTTTTTGTGTATGGGGCAAATGTGGGCTGATCTGGGAAGCGGAACGGCCCGTTCCAAAAGCAGAACGGGCCGTTCTGCTTAAAGAAACAGAGTGCAAATTCTTTAAGCAGAACGGGCCGTTTCACATTCAGAATTTGCACTCTGTTTCTTTAAGCAGAACGGCCCGTTCTGCTTTTGGAACGGGCCGTTCCGCTTCCCAGATCAGCCCACATTTGCCCCATACACGAAAAAAAAAAATTTAAAACTAACTCAGAATTCGGTTCCCCGGGAACCGAATTCTGAGTTGAAAAAACAAAAAAAATTACATTTTGATGCTCAGAATTCGGTTCCCCAACAGTAAATGGTTCTATCTTGGTAAATAATCCTGCACAGTGATCATTCTTGTAATTTTTTTTAAAAAAAAATATTATTCCAGTAAAAAATTCTGTATATTAGATTGTAGGGCAAAAGATTTAAAATAATTTATGTCCTTTTATTTGATTTAATCCTAAAAAGAATGTGTGAGAATGAGAATGGAGAAGGAAAGATGAAGACGTAGTCATAGAGGGTCTAGATTCGGTCAAAGGTGGCAGAGAGGATCTTCAAACAAAGGGGGCCAACTCTCCCACAAAACCAGACATTCCGTCTTTATCTCTCTTCTTTTCAGAGAATTAAATATATTTAAATTCGTTTCGTAATTCTTTATAAATTCTGCATTATTCCACACACTTTAAACATGTAGTATTTGTATTATGAAGAAGAACAAATTTATTAATAGACATTCCACAACTTTTCAACATATACGTACCTAAGGAAAAAAATTAATAAAAAATAGGAGTGCTGAATTTAACAACGTTTTACTTTTACCAAACCACCCCATTTGATTTACCAGCTGTGGGGATGGATACTTTGACTTTGACCAAATTCTTCATCTCTCCTCCTATGTTGATACAAAATTACCAACCTAAGCCTTTTTATAATGACTTGCTATATGCTGTTGGGAAATCTGCTTTGACATAATGAGAGAGTTATAGTACTAATTAATGAACGACTTATACACTTTGGATCTGTTTGAATATTAATTTACACACATTTTTATGCACTAAACAGAAAAGGATGAGTGTGAGTGGATTGAGTTAAACATACGTTTAGCTTTTCCAAATGGTAAATCAAACATGTACTTCATCCCTTTTATAACGAGTT